TGTCGTTTCATTATTGCGGAAACATCCCAACGTTGTGATATTGATGATTTTTAAGGTAATGCCAAGAGGACAACCTTTGTCTGACTTTGAAAAGGGACAAATCGTCTCGAAAAAGAGCCAAGGATTGTCGAATCGACAAATCGCGCGAGATTGGGCAGAAGTCATGATGTTGTCAACAAATTCATCAAGGACCCAACAGGATATGGTACTAAGAAACACTGTGGACGCCCCTCTTTGCTTTCCGATAGAGACAAGCGGAGAATATTGAGAGAAGCATCCAACTCGACGAAGTCATGCCTGGAAATCAGGTCTTCATTGGACCTTAATGTGTCGAAGAATACTGTTTGGCGAGTGCTGAAGAGCTCCAACTTCATCCTGCCACGAAAAATGAGAAAAGCCCCATTTCTGACGAGACGCCACCGCGAGAACCGGGTAGCTTTTGCAGAAAAATGCATTCGGACCTGATTGGAGCAAGGTTAGCATTCTGCCTGCTGCGCCTTTTGATCTTTTTGTGTCTTTCTCTCAATGTTTTTCTTTTTTGGGTCGTGTTTTGTGACGAGAAAAAGTTCAATTGCGATGGTCCGGATGGCTCCCGCTTTTACTGGCACGACCTCAGGAAGGAGAAGCTCTTTTTCTCAAGGCGGAATTTCAAAGGAGGTGGCGTTATGGTTTGGGCGCAATTGCATCGACGGGACGCCTGAAGTTGTGCTTTGTTCCGAAAAAGATGAGTTCATCCGGGCTATCAACTTGTCATAAGCCGTGGCCTTCTTCCCTTTTTGGCGGCGGAATCGGGATGAAAATTTAATTTTCATGCAGGACAATGCACCCATTCACGTCAGCCGGAGCAGCCGGGCTTTTTTCAGCCGTCATCAGATCCCCCTCTTGCCCTGGCCGGCGAACAGTCCCGACCTAAACCCAATGGAAAACGTGTGGGGTTTCATTGTCCGAAGGATTTACGCCGGTAATGCCCACTTCGAGAACGTCGTGAGCTCAAGGAAGCCATCGTTGAAGCGTGGCACCAAGTCGACGAAAGCTCATCAAAAATCTCTACGGAAGCATGGACAATCGCATTTTTCAAGTTATACGGAGAGATGGGGGTCCAGTAGACTATTAACTAGTAAATTTGTGTTTTTTGTTGTAATCTGATTGTTGAGTAACTTGTTTATCTTTAGTGGACGTATAATTTTGGGACGTTGGCCAAGAAGCATTTTCAACAAAAATTAAGATAAAAAATTCTTGTGTTTCCAAGTTGAAAGTTGGTGTTAACACGCGAAAAGCTTTTTATATTTGCCACATTTTTTCTGTTAAGAGTTTTCAGAAACATATCCCTATGCGAGTTTTCACGAAATTTCTAGGTGGACGTATAATTATGGGACGCAGTGTACATCAATAGAAAAGCGTTGATCACACAACGCGACGGCTAACCCTACTTGTAGTTCTCAGTAAACCGCAAAGGTCTACCAAAGCAACCAAACAGGGACTGCTAACTAGATTCAGAGTGGTCGGTCGTTGTTTTGGAAAGTCGTACGAAACGAAAAACGAGTCGTACGAAAAGACCTTGAAGTCACGTTGGTGAAAATGTTGAATAAGGTGAAAGTTATTCCCCCTTTAAAGGCAAAAGTCGGGCTCAATAAGGGGGTATTATGGCGATTGAAACTGAGTATAGAGATGCGAAGTGGAACGACAGTGGAGAAAAAACTGAGAAAAACCGTCGACAAGGCCGTTAACAAAACCCTCTTTCCCACTAGCAGTGAAGGAGGCTGGCTTGGGGAAAGAGGCACGTACAAACAAGTTTTCTGGAGATGTCAGTCGTTCTATCGGTTGATAATCAACCTAGCTGATTTCACACGTTATGCCAGCCACGCACCACATCCCGAGGTGGGCGGTCGTAGCGGGGCCAGGCGGCGATAGCGCATAGTACATGCCCTGGGGCCTTATTACTGCGCCGTTTCGGATTTTGAGTGTGGGAACATCTCTACGGGTGCGTAACCAAGTACAGGCATGACCGAAAGGGTTGGTTTGGTCAACTAATCCCGACCTTTGCCTTTAAGAGCTACTACGTCTAGCGAAGACGGGTATCCGACAGGAGGCCCGTCGCGCGGCAAGAAGGCAGAGTCAGCGGACGAGTCGCAGCGCGTGATGTGCGATGTAGGACGTACAATGGACATTCTATTTAACTTGACGCGAAATCCTACAGTACGCGCTGCGACTCGTCCGCTGACTCTGCCTTGTTGCCGCGCGACGGGCTCCCAGTCAAAAACCCGCGAAAGCTGGACTCGGCTATACTTTCCAGCCAGAATACACATTTTCTGATATGTAACCTTTGCCATGGCAAGTAAGCACTGTCGTGGAGCAGGAAGGCACTGAGCATTCGCCACAACGCAACGCCGACCAGAACATTGAAAAACTTCTTCCATGGAGAACATCTTTTGATACTGCAGTCGACTTTCCTTTTAGCTGACTTCAGCAGCGCTTACGCGTCTGGCTCGCTTGGTGGACCTGCTGTCGTAGAGGGACATTATTAATGCCAATGTGTCTCTCTAGTGCGACCGGAGAAAAAGATTTGGACGAGATGATCTCCTCACGTATCCTTGATACGAGAAGAAATATCCGGCGGAGCACTTCGACACGTGACACGGACGGACGGAGGCGCTACTGACGCCCTTTAAGAGACTCGACGAATGATGGGAAGACAGGACAGGAAACGAAAACCTGACACTCGACACCAGATCGTTCGTCAACTGCGCATCTAGAAGATAATGACTTAAGCTTTTGATGAGCTTACAAGGTTATTGAAAAATAGGATAAACAGCCGAAAGAAAAGCAATGCGATAAAGCTTTCAACTAGGTCAATACTTCTTTGTAGGTGCAACACATCTGAACCCGCTTCAGAATATTAGTAGCACATGGGAATTCGAAATCACCCACAATGCAGTGATATCCCATGACTGTTTTTATTAATTTGTCTTGCTTTGTTTGTTATCTGCTATTTTAACGCCGTAGTTCGCGTTGTAATGTTCACAAGAATGCGAGGTCATGGGCAAAACTTACTATTTCAATCTTCCGAACAGGTCCATTAACAGCTAAACGAAAATGTGAAGCTGGAAGGCGTGACTGAGCTGATGTGGATAAGATGGCGGATTTGATCGCCAAAACCCTTCGCGTGTAAATTCTACCTAGTACAACACCAACTTCTTTGGAGTAATCGACAAAAAATGTCTCAAAGGGGCCCTCTGTTTAGCTCAAGACACGCTATTGTGGGACACAGGCAACCTGGCAGACTATTTTTTGTGCCTCGTCGCGCGCTCCCCGCCACAAGAATTTCATTTCAATGCACGCCAGTTTCGGCCTACCTTTCCAGTCTTCAAACTGCCTCTGTCGCTGTCTAACAAGGAATGGTCATTTGCTCGGTCCGGCCGTTTGTAATGAGGTGTAGTCCGATGCACGCGTCTTGCGACGCTGAGCTCGAATCCGTTTTCGATTTTTGCCGAACGCTTCTATGAACGAAGTTACGAGGGATTCTTCTCACCGTGGCTATCTCACTGTGGCGGCCTCTACATCCCGTACCCCACTCGGCTCGCATAAGAAGAGCCGGAGAGCAGCCATGGCAGCGAGCCTGGTGGTGTAGTGGATAGGGCTCTCGCTTCATATGGGTGAGGTCACATGTTCGAATCCTTGGTGATGGTAAGCTTTTGCATTTTTCCAGGGCTACTCAAACGAACCCAGAAAGCGTTCGTAATTGCTTATTTTGTTGACATGCATCCTCACTTGACACTTGGATGAAGCAAACTCTGGAATTTCCTGTTCGTGCCTCTTTTCAAAAGTTTCTTTTTCAAATGATGAACTTCAACACACGGAAGGCTTATGAGTTTACAGGTCAAGACAAACTAGAAACTTCTGACGATAAATAGAGTAGGTGAACAGGAATTTGTTCACTCAAATTTTGCTTCATCACATTTGGATGAGTTTGCTTCATCCAAGTGTCAAGTGAGGATGCATGTCAACAAAATAAGCAATTACGAACGCTTTCTGGGTCGTTTGAGTAGCCCTGGAAAAATGCAAAAGCTTATCATCACCAAGGATTCGAACATGTGACCTCACCCATATGAAGCGAGAGCCCTATCCACTACACCACCAGGCTCGCTGCCATGGCTGCTCTCCGGCTCTTCTTATGCGAGCCGAGTGGGGTACGGGATGTAGAGGCCGCCACAGTGAGATAGCCACGTGTGAGAAGAATCCCTCGTAACTTCGTTCATAGAAGCGTTCGGCAAAAATCGAAAACGGATTCGAGCTCAGCGTCGCAAGACGCGTGCATCGGACTACACCTCATTACAAACGGCCGGACCGAGCAAATGACTATTCCTTGTAAGAACCCTATTTGGAACTATGGTTTTTGATATTCGCCTCGGCACGTGCGCGCATGCCACGTCCACAAGATGCGCTCACCGCTCCACCTTCCTTACTCTATCCACTTTTTTTAAACAAAATTCACGAAAGACAGTTTTCCTAGAACATAACTGCGAGCTTTTTGGTAAACATCACCCAGCGCTTGTACCATGAAGCCTATCAGAATTAGCCGTTACTCAGCAATTGCTTTTTAGTTTTTACAAAGTCTCATGATCAGAGCATATCGACCCAACTCGCCTCATCTTTCAACCTGCCCTTCACCTCTACCTGATTCTCGCAGTCTGTTAGCTGTTCAGCAGCCAAATTAAAACTTTCTTCAAATCTTGTTTCAGAGCTGCCCATTTTGGAGCACACCTCGACTCAGCTCACTTGGTGGCTAGCATTTTGCCCGTACACCCCGCTTCCCCATGCTCCACCCTCAATTGCTTGACCCGGGCGCCCCATTTGATTCGTTAGGTGACTGCGAATACCATGACGGAAAGGCACGCACTCAGAATGCCAGAGAGGAATAAATAGTATTTCATGGTGTTCCCACTGACTGATGGTGTGGTCAAGAAAGAGGAATAGAAAAATGTGTATCATTGCAAAAATACCTGCATAAGAGCTTCACCAAATGGCCCTCGCTCCCTGTTAGACAACTCGTTGGCGACTCTAAAAATTACACATAAAGTGAGTTCGTAAATTTTCTAAAGACCCAATACCAGCTTCACAGCTTGGTTTCACAAAATCAAACATTATTCGAAACAAAGTTACAAAATTTCCAAATTTATTTCCAATAAATGACCTGTGTAATTTCAACACATCCAGCTCCAAAGCGTTTGGCATATTCTAGCCACACTTAGCCCAAAAAGGTTGAAGGTGACTGTGGAGGTATGATTTTCAGAGGCTCTTGTCCGAAATCAATTCTTGCATATATCTTGTCCAAATAACACATTTCAGGCCAGTGCTTCACACCAACAAAGCGAACGAGATATCCCCGTAGTTATGTACTATCTCTCTTCTGATCACCTGTGATCAATGTCAAGTTGGCAGTAGCGTCTGCTAGTTTCAATAAATCAAAGACTTTTAAAAATGGGAATGTACGTTCAAAGACCCTGGTCTTGAGTTAGGTATGCCAACCTGGAGTACTTTGCCAACACTATCTTCACGGAAATTGCTGAAAAGTCAAGAAAAAATTTAATCAAAACCAAATCCTATAGCTTTTGGACGAGTACGCGAATACCCTCCTTTCCTACATTGCTATGCCTGGGTAGCCGAGCCGGGCGGAAAATTGCAATTAGAAAGCCCACATATCGGACCGATTACGCTTTGATCATACTAAAGGTGTACTCCGTCACAACACATCATCAGTAAAAACTGGCAATAACATACTGATCTATTTAGATCGTCAGTACTCTCGTATTGGCAATCGCGGCATGCAGCCCTTGTAATGTGCACTAACCGGACGGGCGATGCATCGCTCCAGAAGTGCGAGCGACAGGGGAGATTTACCGAGCGGCGCCGTGTGTATCGGTCGTCGGCGGGGTAAATCTCCCGTCGCTCGCACTTTGGAGCGATGCCAATCGCCCGTCGCTTGTGCACATTGCAAGAGCGACTGCATCGCGCGATGCAATCGCAGAGTCTGACCGACATCTTACGTTTCGTTCCCATTCCACACTTGCCTTAGTTATGAAGAGCCTACTGTAGCAGAGAAAACCGTGAAATAAAGACACACAAACGAACAGTACGTTTGCATACGTCGCCTCCAAGAATCGATTTTCGATAGCGATTTGGAGAGTTCTGAAATGGATTCCTGCAGTTTCTCACGCAACTCATCTGTTTCGCGTTCGATAAGCACATGAGCGTGTCCCTGAAATGGATGGTATGCAAGAGTAAAAACGGCGAAACAAAAAATAACAGTTGCTTGTCTCCTCAAATTACAGCAGTGAGGTAGGTGTCAAACTTCGCGATTGCAGTCGGGATCACAATAATCACATCGCGCCAGGATCCCGGCTGTGGGCGAAGCCGCAATGCAAACCATACTAATAGATAGCTTTGCCCGCTCGCGACTGCGAAATCGAAGTTTGACACCTACCATAGCCGTGAAGATTTTGCTCAAAGTCAACACAGTACCTTGTGAACTCCATAATCTCTGCAGAAGACGCACATCAAGTTGCTTTCTTTACTACAGCTCTCTTCCTGAAAAAAAAACTTGCGAGCCACGACTTTCCTCGCTTTGTTTACAGGAAGAACTAGGGTTTCTCCATAGGATGGAGTCAAAATGCTGCTCTCGAATTCAAAACTATAAGGGGGTGTGGCTCAAATCTGTTCTCTTCTGCCCGTGGAACCTTCACAACATTAGTTACTGCTCATCGATAGCTAACCCGCTTACTATGACAGGCTCCATGCTGTCTGTCTCTTTGTTCAAAATGAGATTAGTAGTCACCTTATGACCCACCTGGAGAAGCCAAGACAAGTTTGTGGTGGGTGGGCGTTGGCCCATGGGGTTTACGGGCTGCTTGAACTTCCCCAAGTCCTGCCGCATGGCCAGAGCACAGACGATCCCAGAGCAGCGCCTGGCTCACCACTAAGCCTTGGTGGGGAAGCCGAACTCCAGAGCGGATAACCAAGCACAGTGTGGCAAAAGCTTGATTGTGGGAGGTCACCGTAGTGATGAGCCGCTGTTTAGGCAAGATAGCGCAGAAGGGGCCAAATTGAGGCGATTTGAAGGACCGAGTTCAAG